TTTCCCTAAGACTTTCTCCACCACTGCACCCTTTACTACCAATACATTTGATTTCCATCGGCAACCAACTTTCGTGCCATTCGTCCTTAAGTATCAGAACGGGCAAGAGAAAGAATCCTACATAGCGCTCGTTAGTACCCCTTGTGAGTTCCTGCAATAAATAAAGCCATGCCAGCTCAGTTGCGGCTTGTTTTCCGACGTATGATCATGTGAAGTAACTTGTATAACCGTGGACGTGGGGTTCTGTAGGAAGAAGTGGTAACAATAAAATCATCCAAATTCTCAAAAAGGTTAAGGTGTTACAACAAGAATGCTGAGTTGTGGGCAAATTTTTCGCCCAGCCCGCATTCGTATTGAATTTCTTGCTTTCTGGGCAATTGTACCATTCCAATGAAACAAGTCATTAAAAAGTTATGTGAGGCTTTTGTTAAGTGCATTTCAATTGGTCGGAACTTTTCAGGAATGGCGTATGCTTCGTTGGCTGGAGTTCAACCAGTGAACGGCCTTTACACATCACTATTCCCAGCATTTTTCTACATGCTCTTTGGCACATCTAGGCACGTTTCTTTAGGTGAGATTGAATCCTGCTTGACTATTATTGAGGTAAGTTCTACCCGCTTGGCAACGTTTTGAATTAACAACAATGACAAAGATAACAACAAAAAACAAAAATGATAACAAAAAATTGAAACAAAAAGATTCTCATGTAGCTGAATTACTTGGGAAGTCTCCCGTTATTATTTTTAAGGACCGTGCTTGTATAGTAATGGTAAATGAGCGCTTGAATAGTGGCCCACGCTCTTGAACACAATCTTTATGGTTGTCGATCGATCGACATTAGAGTAGCAGAATGCGCCACGTTTTCCTTAGTAATCTCAACGATGGATACAGTCTATGTGGCCGAAGGGTACCCGACAGGCCCGTCGCCCAGCGAGGAGGCAGAGACGCAGACGAAACGGCGGACGAGTCGCAGCGCGTACTGTAGCGATTTAGCGTCAAGTCAAATAGAATGTACCATAGTACGTCCCCATCGCACAATACGCGCTGCGACTCGTCCGCTGACCCGTCTGCGTCTCCGCCTTCTTACCGCGCATTGGGCCTCCTGTCTGGTACCTGTGGCAGCATCACGACCTTTACGATACCTATATGAACGAGATCGCTGAAGTAGTCCCAACTGCTACATAGTAATTAATATTCGCTTTTTTTGCAGCGCTGCGCATCCGACGGCCTTACTAACTTTATCTATGTAGGTATAGAAAAACGTTTTTTATTCCATGACATTTTCAGGTGTTTTTGCGGTAGTTAGCTTAATGACTGGTAGCTGTAACCAACGAGTATCGGGTATTCTTGAACAGAAGATGACGCGCAATAATGGAAGCCTTCTCGATGATCTGAGCGAAGAGGCAAAGATGCATACCTCCGTCGCTATTGTTACTTCATTGGCAATGTGTGTTGGCTTAGTACAGGTAAGTATTACTCTATTCATGGTTGCTCACAAAGAATTGATGAAGGAGGAAAGGTTCTAGGAGTCGGTCAAATCCTTTTAATTAAGCCGTCCACCCGGCTCACAAGGGGGGGGGGAGCGGGGGCCTTGAAATGAGTGAGCCACGTACATAACTCGAGAATAAGCTAGGGTGCGGAAGGGATTTTGAGGGACCGAGGAAAAGATAACCTTTCTTGTCCCTGGCGTTTCACCCTTCTCCTGTGCTCAGTCCAGGCGTCATACTCCTTTGGTTTTTAAAGGACATGCTTTGAAGCCCTTAAGGCCATGAGCGACGTACACCCCACTGTCATGATGTTTAATATCAGCTGATCAAGGAGCGTTTAGTGTATCCTCGAGGCATCGAGCTAGGCATCTTTACGAAAAGAACGCCCATTTCGGAGCAGCGTTATAGTTACCTGCGGTGAGAACGTCATCGGACATGGGAGAAACGTCTCTGATTTGTTACTTAGTGCACCAATCATGGTCTAGGGTCAAATGCGTGGTCAATTTAGAATTTATGACCCTCCCCTACATCACCTTTGACGAGTCAAATTTTGATGGCGAAAAATGACAAAAAAATCGCGAAGTTCGCGAAGAAACATACCATCGTCTTGAATTTCTACCTCCCTTATCTTCCAGAAATACAGCTCACATCATCAGATGAGGCCTCTACCTTCATTGAAAGTTCAAGCATGCAAATCCCACGTCCGACTATGTAACAGATGGAGGGATGACCTGCCATCAACGCTTGAATTCCCCCAGCCCCCCTCCCCCTCCTGTTACGATTTTTCAGTCGTGAGCACTAGCAGCCTTAAACCTAAGAGGCTGCACTTTTAAGTATCTATTCCGCTCATTAGTTCTTATTGCAGATAGCTATGGCCGTTCTGCGGTTGGATTTCCTCACAGCATTTCTCTCTGATCAAGTGGGTCTTCAATTTTATTCATTACGTGACTGTGTACGATAATTGATCGATGTTGATTGTATTTTTAACTATTTCAGATTATTGGAGGGTTCACTACGGGAGCGTCGGTGCACGTATTTACGGCTCAGCTTAATAAAATTTTCGGTGTTCCTCTTCCTCGTCGATCTGGACCAGGAAAACTGTTCCTTGTGAGTCCTTTGGATGGATATCGATCGTTTTTGACAACTCTTATCCCATGTTTACCATTGCTACTTCATATCACCTTTGTTGCCGTCGCAGATTATAAAGTTTGAGAACATTTCAGATATATAAGGATTTAATTGGCAGCATATTAGATGGTTATGCGAACTGGATCACTTTTGGTATCTCTGTGAGCACAATCGTGTTACTGTTTCTCGTCAGAGCCTATCTCGACCCGTTACTAAGGAGGAGGTGCAGTGTTCCAGTTCCGTATGACTTATTCGTTGTAAGTGTTCTCACATTGCAGACCGATGTTCGCAAATTGGCCAGTAAACCCAATAAAGTCAAGGATTGGATACCTAACCACTTCTGCGCCCATGGGATGCATCACGCAGTTGTAATGGGCCCAGTTTGCTAAAATTTGGGCGAATGCCAAGAGGTGCTGAGTGTAAAAGGCCTAGTCCATGGTTGCTTGTGCTGTTAAAAAGCTCGAAGTTGAGCGCCATACAAGAAAAGTGAGAAAAAATCTTAAGAAACTCGAGAATAATGCACTTCTTTCCTTGAGTGGTGGACGAGAGGTACGACGAAGAAGCACTGGGTGCAGAGGCGAGAGAACAGCTTTGAAGACTAGAGAGCATAGGGGACGGGTGATATGCAGACACCAGTTCTTTTACAGAGGTGGGCGTGCATCGCTGCCGCCCTTGTTACGCGCTTTGAGTCGTGAGTGTGCCAGTATCTCTGCGATAATGAACGCGCCTATATTACCCACAGGATGTATCATTCCGACAAACTTGTGTAATATTCCTTGGCCTTCACTGGTTACAGCGAGGTAGCGTCATCTAGATAGACCTTTTCAAATGAGCAGAAAATGTCATAATTTTGAGTGGCTTGAGCCCTTTGATTATCACTACTTTGCAAGGTCTCGTTGCAGATGATCATTGGCACGATCGTTTCCTATCTTGTCAATCTGCATGGTCGATTTGAAGTCAAAATCATAGGAAAGATACCTACTGGGTAAGTCAATAATGCCGAATCGTAGAAAAAGCTTGTTTTTTTAAAACATATATCTTTTAGTATACCAGCACCTGCTTTTCCCGATGTGTCGCTGTTTCGGTATTTCCTCGGTGACGCACTGGCAATTAGCGTCGTAGTTTTAGTGGTGACGGTTTCTATGGGCAAGCTGTTTGCGAAGAAGCACAAATACGAAATAGATGTTAGACAGGTATGAATGCGGCCAAGGTTGAGAATATACTTTTCTGGCTCATTCCTAAAATGTTGCTTTATCAGCGTTTATTGTATCAAATACAGTGTTACAATGAAGGAGTACTATAAATGTCGTTCGGCTTAAACAAGCTTATTTGAAAAAATCGTGCACCAAGGGCACTCAGTGGAGATCCGTCGCGCGGCGAAAAGGCAGAGACGCAGACGGCTCAGTGGACGAGTTGCACCTCGTGCTGTAT